CCCCCATCTATTCTCTGCCTTCCGAATCCCAGCTCATTGGGAGGAAATGGGGATTTTGCTCTTACCTTCCACTGGAGTGGGGTGGGAATGGAGATTTTACAGTATTCTTCCATTGCCATGCCCACCAAGCCATGCCACGCCCACCAAGCCACACCCACCAAGCCATGTCATACCCACCAAGCCACACCCACAGAACTGGTAGTAAAAAAAATTTTGAATCCCACCTTTGATCTGGAGGAACGTTGACCCCCAACAATAAAGCACAACCTCACAACACACAGCCCAGTGTTTTGGAGGAGGTGATGCTGTATGGAAAATAATTTTCTAGATTTGCAGAGTAGGATCTTATTGTAAACCAAGCTCATCCAATGCCTCCCTCCAACCCACAGTTTTTGTAAGTTCATTTGAGTCATGAGTGAAATTGACGTGCTATCAACCATGCTTCTTCAATTCAAGCAAGACTCTTCCGTTACCCATCAGTAGTCTTGTCTCAGGATTCCTTATTTCCTCCTCTAGATCCTTCATTGAGATCTCTAACAACTGTCTCTCGCGGGATCAGACCGAGCAGGTTATCGAATCCTTGTTCAAAGAAGCAGGATTCCAAGACAAGGAGGAGCTCACCTGGGAGGATTTTCACTACATGTTGAGGGATCATGACAATGCACTCCAGCGCACTCAACTTTGCGTCAAAGGTCAGCCGAATCCAAAACAGACAGCTCACACAAAACCTTCTGTTTGGGTAGGGGTAAGGAAGCCATACTTCTGGCAGCAAACAGCTCAAGATCTCCAGGAAGTAGAGGTTCTCATTCTTGTTATATTGTGCCTCCTTTTCTCATGTGTGATGGAATGAGGAAATAGATCCCCAGGAGGGAGGGGTGTGTTCCAGATAAATAAGAGGCAACTCGGCCCAGATATCAGGTATGAAAGAAAATGGGTGGAAATGGCACCACCCTATTAATTCCCAGAGTATATTGTAGATGCAAACAGTTCACCCTGGCAAGATTCTGTCTCTAGGTGTGACCCCTTAAAAGAATTCAACTTGGATGACTCTCCATGCATCATTCATGGTTTGGGACCTGACACTATGACTCTCTACTAAGTCCTTGGTGGTCATCAATTGAACGTTCTTTTTTATCTTCCTCCCAGGAGTTCCAGAGAACCTCAAACAAAATGTAATCAACCGCGTGTCCTTCATTAACAAGGATCGAGATAACAAGTAAGCCATCTCCCAGTTACTTACCTTCTTGGCAGCCTGCCTAAACCTGTGTGGATTTCAGATGTGACACACTTTGCCCCAATCATAAATCATATTTTATTTGCAAAGATTTGTGGCATGTTTATGGTTCCCATCCTCTCCCCAATCCTTGTGGTCACCAAGTAACCAGCAATGAGAAGGAAATAAATATTCATGGCGTGGGGATCAGTATGTATTCATGAATGTAGAAAACCATGAAGGCCAAATTAAACATTTCTTTTTGAAAGTTTTATATTGTCCTGCTGGCAAAAAAATAAATATATAACAAGCTGAACTGCAGCAACTGAAGGATGTAGAAATGGCATTGCAAGAAGCCTTAAAAAGTTTAAATATTATAGTAGTAGAGTTAGAAGTTTAAACCTTAAGGGAGCTGAGAAGTTCCTAGGTGATAACCTTTCCTAAAGGTTTTTCAACTTTTTCAACAAACCCATCAAGTTTCTTCCGCGTTTTAACTGCGAAAGGCAACCGATTCTAAAAACCACATGAAGAGCCACTTATGAAGGCTTTTGATTATTACTTCCACATACAGAAATACGGCATCAGAAGGGAAGGTTTGATACCACATCTTTCCTTCTATGGGGTTCTTTGCTTCCTAGAGAATAAGATTTAAACAGTGAAATCTACTTTCAGCTGGCCCTTCTGAACCCAATTGGGTTCAGAAAAATACTATATTTTTTTCACTATAAGATGCACTGGTGTATAAGACGCACCAAGTTTTTGAAGAGGTAAGTAAGAAAAAAAGGTTTTTTATAGAGCCGAGGTGGCACAGTGGTTAAATGCAGCACTGCAGGCTACTTCAGCTGACTGCAGTTCTGCAGTTCAGCTGTTCAAATCTCACTGGCTCNCTCCCAGCCGGTCACATGGGTGGCAAGCCACTCCCACAAATGAGGCCACACCCACAGAGTAGGTTCCAACAACTTTTGAAACCCACCACTGGTCTGGGACCAATGTTTCTGATAGTACCCATCAGTCTAGTTCCACACTGGGAATCGAGGACTTCATGGTGACCGGATTAGTGGTTGTTGATCCCTCAATGGAACAGAGGTTCCCTTGTCCTCCAGATGCCCAACAGCTGAGTTCTAATGATCGGTTGATCTCTTTCCAGTACATCTGTGAACGTCACTTCCAGAAGGTCCTCAACAAAAGCTTGTTCACAGGCCTGCGTTCCATCACCCACTTTGGACGACCACCTTTTGTGCCCTTTTTCTGCTCCTTGCAAGAGGTCCATCCTGAGGTCAGTGACCACCTATGCAGGTTGGGGAAAGCGGTGAAGACTGAACTTCTGTGGGTTCCACGACGATTTGTTGCAGGCAGGAACATTTGTGCATGGATCAGAGGGACTCTCAGCTATGTGGTTGAACTTCTTAAGGAACCTCCAAAGGTTCCTTGACCCAGCTCCAATTGTTTGGAAGACATTTCAGAGAGGAGGAAACCCATGAGAAACTTCACATCTCTTTACAGCTAAAGACAGAGGAGGAATGTGATGGGAACTTTGGCTAAATGTTGCCTTCTCCCATGGCTGCTCCTCCATCTAGATCACTGTTTTTCAAACTTAGCAACTTTAATACGAGTGGATTTCATCTCCCAGAATTCCCCAGCCATGATGTTGGCTGAGGAATTCTGGGACTCCAACTTCCACATGGTGGCTGAGGAATTCTGGGACTCCAACTTCCACACGATGGCTGAGGAATTCTGGGAGTTGAAATCCACTTATATTCAAGTTGGGCCAGGTTTGGCCTCGATGTTGAAGCAGGGGGAAATTTAATTATTTCCCACATTTATTTTATTTTGCACCTCTGTGATTCTGAGCACTTTTCTGCTTTTTGTTCCCAGGTACGGAAAATTGGTGTTTTCAGCTGTGGCCCACCGGGCATGACAAAGAATGTGGAGAAAGCATGCCAAAAAATCAACAAGCGGGATCAAACTCATTTTATCCATCACTATGAGAATTTTTAGTCATTCTCTTCCGAAGACTCGATTGTGTTTCGCGGGTATATAAGTAGAGGTTCACCATTGGCTGCGTTCCTCTCTTTCTCTCGAAAGGGAAGGAGAAAGAAACAGCCTTATTTTCAACAGGGACTTGGACGAAATATTTTAGATGTTCAGAAAGCCATACTTTTTGTCCTGTCCAGAACTTCAATTGAGGTCTCACAGTTGACAAAGATAATCAAGGGCCCATCCTTGGTCAGCCCCCACAGGTCTCACATTTGCACCTCCTGTAAGAAAAGTCTGGACAACTAGAAAACAGAGTGATATGATATCATTGAGACTAAGGCAGCCCTTTCGTTACAAGTGCAAACTTGTTCAGATTTAACAGGTAACTAAACCTCCTAGATTATAGCTTTGTAACACTCCCTGTCAATTATTTATTCAACAATCCGTAATTCACTCCAACAATTATAGTTCCTAAGTTGGACAGAGATAAATTATTCTTCCCTTAACCCAATTTAACCTCACTGTTTATCATCAGCGTAAGCTTAAACGGTGCCTTAAGTTCCAGCAACATGTGTGAACCTGTTGGATTTATGTTAGAGGTAGCTCTGATTTTACAGGTGACATTGGACACATAGAAGCAGCCGTGATGGACAGATAACGATAAACATAGAGTGGAAAATCCTATATAGATGCTGGGTCAAATAAAGGATATCCTGCAGGCTGGTTGGGGAATTCTAGCAGTTGAGGTCCATATGTCTTAAAGCCTATGGAGCTTCTCAGACGTCCATGGCTGTCCCAAAGGTGCTTTTTCAAGAGGCAACTGGACTTATTTTTTTCTTTGAAGGCATTCCACTTCTCATTCAAGAAGCTTCTTCAGTTCTTCTGAAGAAGAAACTTCTTTGATGAGAAAAAGACAAGAAAGTCCAATTGCCTCCTGAGAAAGCAGCTTTGGGAGAACCGTCACCTGGATAATTGAGAAACTCTACAGACTTTTAGCTACACAATTTGGGAAGAACACTCCACCCTATAAAATGCTAAGGATGTTGTAGGGGTTTATACACTGAAGTTGAATGCAGACACCTACTCAGAAAACATAGCTACTAATATAGATTAGAACTTGACCGCTCTTATGCCATATTGCCGAAGGTGGTAGAAATAAAAACATTAGAGAATTCTTTATGGAGCAAACTCTTCATGGAGCGTGTTCTTGATGGAGTCTTCTAAAGCTTGGTTGATTCCTCTAAGATTTGTTTCATTCATTTTGGTTTAGTTGATGGAGTGCATTAATTGTATGTATGTTTGTATGTAGTGCTCATATTAAAGATTTGTTTCAACTGAAATGTATATTCTCTTGAATCAATTTTTTGTTACTTTAACAATGACTTCCAGGAGTCCCCATTTATTTTGTACAACCTACTAGCCTGTTTTTTTTTTCTCCATTTGTTGGGAATGAATGAGGTTCTCCTCAATGTTTGAATGTCATCTACTCTGCTGGTGTTCCAAAGAATCATGAAGATCTGGCTCTTTGTCCAGCCCTTGGCAAGTATGCTGGTCAAGGAACTCCGTGAAGTCCTGCCAAAATTGAGAAATGCTGGACTCCACCGAAGATTAAAAGCTTCCAAAGGCATAATGAGAAAGAAAGAAAGAAAGAAAGATAGATAGATAGATAGATNGGCTGTTTTTTGCTCAAAAATGCAGGCTGTTTTTTGGCCATTTTTTGGACTGTTTTCCGGCACTCTGGCACTCGTAAAGACCAGCTGGCCAGCATGCATGTGAATGCTGGAAACCAGAAGAGCAGCTGGTGCGCATGACCACAGAGAGGGCTCTGCGTGCCACCTCTGGCACATCTCAGTGGTGGGTTCCTACTGGTTTGGACCGGTTCAGCCACTGTACATGCATGCATAGCACACATCAAGTGTACCCCACACAGCACACCCATGCAGCATGCCCATGCAGCAAACCAACAGTAGTACCTGCTGGAATGAACCCCTGGCACATGTGTCATAGGGTCCCCATCATAGTCATATATCTAAAGGATGCCCATTGAAGAAAGTTGATCTAAAGAGACTCGCTGGAACCTGGAGGCCACATCTGGCCTGAGTGGTCCAACATAGTCTTTACTGTTTGTAGCTTCTCAGAGATAATCCTCTAGTTTAGCTCTGCCTTATCTGAAACTTGCTTGTACCCAGATCATTGTAGAGAGCATTGTTGACTTGACCCTTCGTAGCAAATACACAGGAAGCCTTTTTTTTCTTGATTCAGGGGTCACCAACCTGCAGTTCCAGAGACCCCAGGACTTTGACTACAGGTCTGGACAATGGGTACGGATTGCGTGTTTGTCCCTGGGGACCAACGAGTACCATCCTTTCACTCTGACATCCGCTCCCCACGAAGACCTGCTAACTCTGCACATCCGAGCAGCTGGACCTTGGACAACTCGCCTGCGGGAACTCTACTCGCAAGAAAGCATCGCGGAAATTGGCAAATATCCCAAGGTCAGTCTGGATTTCTGTTTCGCCTTGCTTTTCTCCTGGTGTCAATTTCAGGAGAGGACACGCGGCCAACAAATATGGCTGGCCAACGTCAACCAAAACTCTTCGGGTTCCAAGCCGAAGATTGCTTTTCTTCCAATCCCCCCTGTAAATAGTTTGCAAAAATATACCCTGTCTCCCCGAAAATAAGACCTCCCTGGATAATAAAGCCCAATTTGGCTTTTGAGTGCATGCGCTAAAATAAGCCCTCCCTGAAAATATTGCAACACCGCAGCAGCCATGAGGTGACCAAGCTCACCGCCTCCTGCACCTCAAAAATAATAAGACCTCCCCAAAAATAAGGCCAAGTGTGTCAGGGTTCCAAAAAACCCTGACCCCTGTTCCCCCCNGAAGGCAGGAAGGAAACATTCTGGTGTTGTTTCTAGCTTCATCTTTATTGCCCTGTATACAGAAACTGCCTCTCCGGTTATTGTAACAGCTAAGATGAAGCGCCCATTGATGTGAGTGACATTGAGTTGGCCATGCCCACCCAGTCACATGACCACCGAGCCACTCACCCCCAGCTGGTCATTAGGGCAGAGAACCGGTTGCTAAATTATTTGAATCCCACCACTGCATACTAAATACGAAGAGAGCTAAGAGTTTAATGATAGGGTTTTCTATACAAAAAGAGCATCCTCTCCAAATAGAATGGAAAAAGAATTCAAATTGAAGGCTGGACTATTATTGACTTGAGGGAGACTTTGAGTTTGAGCAAGTTTATGGGATCCTGAGGACTTCCAAACTATCTTTAGATGCTTTCACTCTTTGTGAGTCTTCACCATCCGAGAAGAACCTCTTGCTTTCTGTTCATTCTGGTGGACTAAAATGATGTGTAATGTATTTCTAGGTGATCATCCATGGCAGCTACGCTGTGGTACAACAGCCACGCTTTCATATTTACTTCATTGTCCCAGCGCTCATCTATGTCGCCGATAAACTCCTCAGCCTTAGCAGGAAGAAGGTGGAGATCAGCGTCATTAAGGCTGAACTGCTCCCTTCAGGTAATGCTGCTCTCCTGTAGCCTCCTTCCTCCTCAACCCTACGTCAAAGAGAATATCTTCTACCTGAGCACCCTCCCAGATGTGGACTTCAACCCCCAGAATTCTTAGGAACGGTCTTGCAGAGATTGTGACAGTTGAACGCCATATATCAGTGATGGCAAACTTTTTCAGCACCGAATGCCCAAACTGGAATATGCGTGCATGTACATGCGCCAAAGTATCGGAAACCCGAATGTGCATGCATGCCAGTTGGTCTTCGGGTTTCCGGCATGCGTGCCAGCCAGCTGGTCTTTGTGCATGCTGAAGCACTGGAAACTCAAAGACAAGCTGGCCACTTGCCTGTTTTTTGGCTGTTTTTCGGGCCGTTTTTGGCTCAAAAAATGCCCTGTTTTTGGCTCAAAAAGCAGGCTGTTTTTGGCTCAAAAAAACGGGTTGTTTTTGGCTCAAAAAAACGGGTTGTTTTTGGCTCAAAAAAAACGGGCTGTTTTTGGCTCAAAAAAACGGGCTGTTTTTGGCTCAAAAAAACGGGCTGTTTTTGGCTCAAAAAATCGGGCTGTTTTGGGATAAAAAAACGGGCTGTTTTTGGCTCAAAAAAACGGGCTGTTTTTGGCTCAAAAAACCGGGCTGTTTTTGGCTCAAAAAACTGGGCTGTTTTTGGCTCAAAAAACTGGGCTGTTTTTGGCTTAAAAAACTGGGCTGTTTTTGGCTT